TGCTCTGGCGGCCCTTCGGGTCAGCGTCGTCGCCGCTGCATGGGGGTATCCATCTCGGGGTGTGGCCGGTTCGTAGGCGCGTAGGTCCGGTTGAATCTGCGTGAAAAAGGTTCTAGATGGCCCCAGCATTCGCGGTCTCCAGGATTTCGGTCATGCCCATGTCCATGTGGGCTCGGCGCCGGAGCTCGGCGATCATCTTCTCGGCCTCGGATGCGGGTCGATGCTGTTCCGGGGCGCGACGGAATGGGCGTTGCTGCGAGCGACCCAGACGACCGATGTCACCGCGGAGCGGCCGCCCGCGCCGCCGCCCCTGGACTGGGGCCCCTGCTGGCCCTTGCCGACCATCCTTCTTTTGGAAGGGAACAGTCGCACTATTACTTTGAAGGGGCTATGTGCTGACGCAAACAACCCTTTTAATGACGCGCTGTTGCTCTGTTGCGCGACATCCGCGGCGGCGCTTCCGAATTGCCGAGCCGCGTCTTTCGCTCGCGCCCTGAACCCCCCGTCAAGAAGCAAATGCAACTCGCTGAAAACATGTCCCAAGATTGCCTCGACCCGATGCGGCGCGCCCCTGGTTACTCGAGCAAATGCATCGCGCGGTGAACAGGCAGGGGGGGCGAGGGCCCCCGGCCCCCCGACCGGGCCCTGGCCCCGCGTCGCCCCCGCGCCACCGGGGCCCGGCTGAGGCAGACCTTGGACATGCGCACGGCGAGGAAGCGGCCTTACTACAACGATGAAGAGGCTGCGCTCACGCGAAGGAGCGGCGCCACTAAAGCGAGAAAGCGGCTTTAGCGAAGGCGCGCCGCCCAATGCATTCCGAAACAAGTGACGCTTTTGTACGGCACAACAACAAATTTACTTTTGCGGGGAGACGGCAGAGGTGAAACTGCGCGCCGAAATGTCGCCCCTCCCATAAAATCTAACGCGGGGCTCCCGGAACGAGGGCGGGGCGCAAATTCGCCCGCGGGTCTGGGCCCCGTCGCCGCCGTCGCCGCGACGTTCGCCGTCGCCGCCGTAGCCGTTGCCGCCGTCGTCGTCGCCGTCGGCGCAAATGCCGCCGCCGTCGTCGCCGTCGCCGTCGTCGCCGCAGCGACGCCTGCCTAGTCGCGTTATTGCCGGCGGCGGGTCGCGCGCGACCGCGCGCGCCATTGCGCTCGCATTTCCGCTCGCCCGACGGGGCCCCCGGCGGGCGTCGCGTTTTATTCTGGCCCGCAGCTTGTCTGCAGTGATAATAAGGAAAATGCGCCTCTGATTCTTGATGGGGCGGTTCTCCTGGCCCCTCCCTTCGCGCCAGAAATGCGCCAGGTCGCCGGGGCCCCAGGTCTGGTAGACTCGGTGGCGCGCCCGTTCAGCGCGTCGGTGCCTCTCCGCGGACTCGCACTCCAGGATGCTCTCGCGCGCCAGAAGACATCGCTGCTCTGGTGGCTCCCCGTCCGCCCCACCGACGACGGCGATGGGGCTGGCCGGCGCGGGCGGGCCGGGGGGCGCTCGTCGCGTGCGCGAGCGGCGAGTGGCCCCCCGCCTCGTCCGCCGAGTTGATCGCGCCCACCGCCCAAGTGACCGCCTTTTCGATCGGGCGCTCCCGGCCAGCTTTGTCATGGGTCGCGTGAGCGGCTGGGCCCTCCGCTCGACCCTTCCCATGAGCCAGCGGGCTTCGCTGGGGGCAAGCCATGTCTCGACGCCGCGGTCCGAGACCCACTTCGTCGCGGCCCGTGAGCAGCGACAACCTCGAGGGTCTATCCCGAGAAGGGGTGGCCGCCGGATGCAGCTGCGACATGAGACGCAGGCGTCGATGGCCTCGGCGGCCGATCGGTCGGCGCCCCTGTCGCCCTTGTGCCCTCGATAAGTCGCTCTCGTCAAGCCTGGCCCCCCCATCCATGTTCAACGTCATGATGTGCGACGACTGTCGTGGAGGCAGCCGTTCAAGTCCGTTCGAGGAGGGCCTCCAATGCGGCGGGCACCTCGCTGCCCGAGGCGGCCCTGACGGACTTGGGCACCTTCCCAGCCTGGCATCCACGACAGTGAAATTGACGCGCCCTAAGGAGAACAGGAATGGTAGCGCCCGAGGCCGCGAGGATCATCCTGTAGAGCGCCTCGTTGCCACGGTGTCCGAGACTGCGGCGTTGCCTACCCGGCCTGCGCTCCATCTCGCGCTTCTCCTTGTGGGCCAGGTCGGCATTAGGCGCCGAACCCTTGAAGGTCGCGTTCTCGTCCTCACCAAGTCGTCGCCTGCCATGGCGACGCCCCCCCTGACCTCCTCCACGTCGACGTCTGCTTCTTCAGGGGTCTGATGTAGCGCCGTGGAGATCTCCATGCCGCAGCGGGCGCTCCCGTTATCCTGCGTGATGTGCTCCGCCCGAGCCCTGCAAGCCGCGCAGAAATAGCGCGCCGTCTGAGATGCCCCGTGCGAGTCCTCGATGGGTCGACGCACGCGGTTGTCGGCTCGCCAAGGGCGGTCTGAGCAATGCCGCCCGACCATCAGCGCGCACTCCGGGTCCGTTGAACAAAATCGCCAGGCCTGCTTCATCGGCAGCGCGGCCCGCTCGCCCCTCATGCCGCGCGCGCAGCCACGGGCGATTGTCTCTTTCATCTCGGCTCTCATCTGATTGATCGAGGGTGATCTCGACCAGCTTCGGCTGTTCCAGGGTAGTTCCCGCTCGGTGTGGCAGTCGGGGATATTCTAGGCCTCCTCGCAAAGCGTTTGGAGGCCTCGCTGGATCCTTCGAGCCTGGCGCGCCGTCTTCACGCGCTGCAGCTTCTGCGCTTCGGTCTTCTGGTTGAGGTTCTGAATCAAGCAGTCAGCGGTGCATGGTTGACTGGGCATTAACCTTCCAGGCCGCGTCCGTCGAAGCAGGCGCAAGGCGCGACACGCCCCGGCTGCAGTCGCCATGCCGAAGCCGTTGAAGAACCCGAATCGGACCACGATGCCGCCCAGCGCCTCCACCGATGTGCCCACCGACGGTTTCTTTGGACAGCAAACCTCCATCAGGTCGTCGCGATCGATCTTGGTCAGGGCGAGTATGTCCTCGGCGGTCGTCATCCAACATCGCCTTGTCGTGAGCCTGCTGGAACACGACGAGGTTTTGGTCCATCAGGATCTTCAACGTCGCCTTTTTCTTGTCCGTCCTTCGCATGTCCGACTCGTCGAGCATTGTGTCCGTCGGCAGGAACCCCACGGGCCTGCTGGGTCCTGTCTCGCTAGCTTCGCTGCCCGGCGCCTCCAACGCATGGCTACTGCCATGATCCTGATGTCCCCGGTGCCTGTGTCCTGGCCCTGCGGGTTCCTCGAGCACCGGTGACTTGCTTCCCTTACAGCTGCAGCCCCTGATGGTCCTCCATGGTGTTCCGCAGCATGTGCATGCCGACCTTGGTGGCTGAAGTGGTCCTGGAAACAATGGCGGGCTCGCCAATGTTGCTACTGTCGAGGATGCTGGAGTCGATCGTATGATGTAGAAACTGGTGTCCTTGGCGGCGCCTCATGTATACCGAGTAGACGTAGGCATTGGCGGCTCTGGCCGCCGAAGCAGCTGCACCCACGCTTGGTCCTGCCCACCGCTCTGCAGCACGAGCACTTCCCAGCTGGGCTGTAGCTCGACGGTGGTGTCGACGGTGCACTCGGTTGGTATGCTGCGGGAGGCGTCGGCGGAGCTCCCCCTGGAGTAACTGGGGCTCCGGCCTGTAGCGTTGGAGACGCTGGCCCCCTCGTCCGTGGCCTTGCCCAAGCTGACCGCGCTGGCGGCGGCGGTGGCAGACCCGAAGACGAATCAGCAACAACATTGACACAACATTGAAACAACAACTGTCGAACCCCCACACAGCAACAACATTGAAACAGACTCTATTGCAACGATGTTGAAAACTCCGCAACATGGCTGAAACCAGGAAACTGGAAACACACATTGTTCCTGCGATTCCAGCTGAGATAACCAACAACGCGATGCTAGCGCGGCGCCTTCTCATCGATGACCAGACGCTCGCGCACGCTAGTGTACTGCGAAGGCGGACTTATTTCTGTACGAGGTACATACGAGACTCCCATGGTGTTTGTCCCACGCTATCTTGGAAACGGGGAGGAGGATGCGAGAGGAGAGGGCACAACAAGCAAAGTGCCGATCCAATCGTCACGGTGCGCACCGCCGGAACCTGGAGCGCGATACGCATCAAACCATGACATGCATCAGTGCCGAGGTGGAAGAGTACCCGACGTAGCAAACGCAGGAACCGAACCAGCTCGTTATACGATCGAAGGCTCCCGTATATTGACAGTACATGTGATGCCCTCGACTCCGCCCCCCCTCGCAGCCCCCATATTTACGCATTCGGCAACACAAGGGTGAGAGGACAAAAACAGTGGAACCCCCCAGGGCCTCCGCGAGGCCCAACTCCAGCTGTGGAATCTGGGGGTAGGGGGCGGGGGCGAACACAGGGTCGAACCTGAAGGGGCTTTACCTGTCAGTCCCTTTACCGGAGGAAGCCTTCTGAGCAGGCGGCGGGGCTTCTCGGAATCCTTGTGAAGCTGTCTGTCTTCGGGGAGGTGCCCACCGCGCTCTGGCCCTGCACGCCTGGCTGCAGCTGCCCACCCAGTTGCTCATCGTCGAATTCTTCGACGTCTGAGCGTCCCTTCTTCTTCTCGGCCGTCCTTTGCCCGCCGGCCAACTCGCTAGTCAGTGCCCCCATCCAGCCTCTCGCTGGAGCGGAGTTCGCCGCCTCGCCGCCGACGAGAAAGTGTCTTCGGGGAGGGCTCCGAAGACTGAGGCCCGCCCCTTCTCACTCCCCCCCCCCCTCGCCATCGCTCGGACGTCCATTCCCTGGGCTTTTTTCTTGGTTTCGTGCGTGGCTTCTTCGCCAAATGATATATCAAGGATGCTCCTCCTTCGATGGTCCTCGCCGAAGGAAGAAAATGCACACGTCCGAGCGATGCCAGGCGCCCTGGGCGCGCCGCCGATCTCCCCCCCCCCAATATCCCGCGACCTGCGATCGGACGAGCAGGCCCCGGGCGCCTCCACGACGACGCCACCCTCGGCCGCGCCGAGGGCGTCGGCGCGCACGGCCTCCACGTCCTCGCGCAGCGCGGCGAGCTCCTCCGAGGGCCACCCGCCGCGAGGGGCCCCCCGCCGCGAGGGGCGCGGCGGAGGCGCCCGGCCGCCGCCACGGGCGGGACGAGGGGGGGGGGGCCATCTCTTGCGCTCCCTGCTCAAGGCGAGACGAGGCCAGGGAGGAGGAGGAGGAGGAGGAGGAGGAGGAGGAGGAGGAGGAGGCCAGGGAGGAGGAGGAGGAGGAGGAGGAGGAGGAGGCCAGGGAGGAGGAGGAGGAGGAGGAGGAGGAGGAGGAGGAGGAGGAGGAAGCTGAGTGCAAAGCACATGAGCACGAATGCCGTGGCCTCACAGGGCGTCGCAATACGGAGTCACGGCTGCGCGCCAGGCTGCGGCGGAAATTACGCTATCATGCCAAAGCTGCGGCAGGGCCTCCTCGCCCCCCGCGGCCGGGACAGCGTGGGCAAAAACTGATTCGGTCCAAGTTTTCCGGACGAGGCCAGGACGAGGGCAAAATCGGGTGAGGATGAATCGAGAATCTCTGAGATCTGGCGGCTCTGGAGGATGTCTCGGGCGCCGCGGCATTCTCAGAGCGTTCCAGAACGCTCGGATTGCGTTCCGGGACGCTCTGAAACGTATTCATCCTCGTCCTAGCCCCGTCTGCCGCGGCTGGGAGGGGGAAACTATGGCGATTTTGTTCGCTGTGGCCTCCTCCTCCTCCTCCTCCTCCTCCTCCTCCTCCTCGTCTTCCTCCTCCTCCTTCTATCTCCCTTCCTCTCCTCCTCCTCCTCCTCCTCCTCCTCCTCCTCCTCCTCCTCCTCCTCCTCCTCCTCCTCCTCCTCCTCCTCCTCCTCCTCTTGGTGCCCCCAGCTTGCCGCTCCATTTTGGAGCCCCTGGGGCCCTCTGGGCCACGTGATGGGGTGCTCTGGAGGCCGCGGGGGCCTCCTCGGAGATTCTGCTGGCACCCTGGGCCAGGGGCGCTGCCAGCAGCACCCGACCTGGGGATGACATGCCCGTAGGCCTTGGCAGTCCGACCGCTCACCGGAACGGGTCACAGCAATGCGTTCGCGGATGCGGTCGGGAAACGGCCCTGGACACTGGGGCTTCTACCGGACCAGCTTGGCATCCTGAGAGGGAAAGAGAGAGAGAGAGAGAGAAAGAGAAAAAGAGAGACAAAGAGAGAAGGGAGAAAAACCTCTGCCTCGACACATGAAGACACGTATCCTTACTTTCTCAAGATCACGGGGTTGCCTTCTGAAGAGAAGATCGTATGACCGTATGAGCGGCGCTTAGCTAGAGTAGGCGCCACTTCTTCGTGGCCCAAGCTACGCAACGACGTGCTACTCCATGCATGGCCGTTCCCACCTCAGCCTCGAGTCATCCTGCTTCTCCAGCATACCTGGTCGCATTCGTGGTCCAACGTCGTGGCGATCACACAGTGCGACCACATCGGGCATACCCAGGGGACGTGCAGTCGCTGGCTCACAGGGGAAGAAAACTAAACCAAACATCTGTTCACGCTTGGCACACTCGTGGATGTCTGACGCCTCAATATGACGTGCTCTTTAAAGATAGGCGGTGGGATCGACGCGCATGCAGTCGATAAAAAGCGTCACGACTCCCTGTCCCTTGCAGCCAGCAGCCAGCGTGGTGGGGCTCCACGTCAGCACGGCTGGCGCACTTGTTGCCGATCCGACTGAGGGGCAAGAGACTAATCGCGAGAAAACTACCGGCACCCCGATCAGACTCACGTCCAAGAAAACATCAGCATCCCTTTCCATCAGGACCGATTCGTGTGTCAAGATCGACGCCAAGACTTGTTGTAGCGTATGTTCTGGCCAGAATGTCCAGGTGGATCCAGCCGTGCCGACGAAGAGCCTCCTGTAGGCCCAAGAGGCGCCCAGATCTTCACAGAACCGACGACGGCGTCGACACCCTCAGGACAGGATCAGCCAGCGTCGAATCGGGCAATCGGACCGAATCGAAACGTGCGTCAGATCGGGCCGCAACCGCACAGAGTCGGGGTCGGATCGAATCGGCAGCGCCAGGGTGCACGACGAGGCCGCGCAAACCCCGGGCCGCATCGGATCATCACATGGCCAGAATCGAGCCGAGTCGGATCGGCCGGAATCGTTGTCAAATCGGAGCGATCGGAGCGAAACATCGGCCCCTTCAGGGCCCCGACGTCTTCGTGCCGAGCGTCCTCGGCCAGCCGCCGCAGCTCCTTGCCCTGGTCCGCGACGCTGAGGCGGAGGCTGCGCGCCTGCTCCGGCGACACGACGCGCCACTCGGCGGCGCTGGCGGGGGGGAGGGCGGCCCCGACGTCCGACCCGGTCTGCGGTCGGGGCGGCCGGAGTGGGCACGAAAGGGGCGGGGACGAAGAGCGGCAGCAGCTGCAGTGCCGGCCCATTCTGCACAGGACTCGCTGTCAGTGGTGGCCGAGGACGTTGTCCATGTGAGCCAAGAAGGAGCCTGCCCGACAGCGGCCGCTGTCAGTGTTGGACAACATTTGTTGCTGGGCATCGTGCCCATTGATTCCGTACCCATTTTGGGCGTGCCCATTCGGACGGACTGGTTTTCTCCATCCTGGCGATTTTCCTCCAGTTCGGCCTCTGGGAGCCGTTTCAAGGCCCCTGGGGCGGCCATCAAACATGGGGCCGGGATCAAACACGACCCTCGGGGCAGGAGTCGGGATCTCTGGGGCGTGCGGATGGAAAAGTCACATCGTCAGGAATCTGGGAAAGCCGTGCCAACAAAAAACACGGGCATTCTGGGAAAAGCAGGCCCGAACTCCCGACGCAATCCCAATACGTACGGGTCGTCTCGAGAATCGGGTGCGCCGAAGAAGGGGGCAGAGAGAGGGGGGGGCGTCGCATCATGGCCCGAGGCATGTCCGCGGACGAAGGGGAGTCATAGAACGTAGAAGAGAAGGGGGCCATGAAATCTGGAAGGTGTCATGGGCCTGGCCACGAGATCCACCCCCTGGTCATCGCCCTCCTCTTGGACGCCCCCGAGAGGAAGAGCGATCCGCGAGGGGCCTGGGACGAGGAAAGACCTGATCTTCTACACGACGCCGCCGCAGCATGTACCTGTGAGGTCCCCACAGGCCCGTGCATGCCCACGACAGCGTCTGCCGACTTCGAGCATCTCGACCCTCGAAGAGCGCGTTGAACGATTCGCGGCCCTAACGCGCGTTACGGGGGGCATAACGCGCGCTACGGCCCAGAGGATTCAAAAGCACGCTCGGGCCTCGAAGATCGGCCCCGAGGTCCCACGACGAGGTGCCCCAAGAAGGGCCCCTCGCCTCAAGAGGCTGCCTCGCGCGCTCGGCGGAGGGCGGCCGAAGGCCGGCGGAATGTGGCGGAAACGCACCGTCGAAACGCTGTCACCAGGAGCCCCAGTGTGGGGGAAACGAGGCCCTGTCTTCCAGAAGATAAGATTCGTTTTCCAATCGAGAAACGAGGCCCCCTTTCTCCATAAGATTAGCTTCGAGGTCCCACAGAAAACCGACGGAAAGCCTAAGACGAACTGCAACACAATGAAGGAACACCGAGCCCCTCCCTGACGAAAAGGGTTCCTTCTTGGGCGGGCCCACCGCCTTCGGAAGCCGGCGGGAGGTTCCTGTCAGTTCCGCGAGGGCCTGCACGAGGGGCCAACACCCACGATGGAGGTCGCGCACCGTGAGCGACCTCCCTGGAACAAGCATGTGTCCAGCGCGGCGAACAGTCGGCTCAGCCCAGGCCGCGGGCGCCCAGAGGCCGCGGGATACAGAGGCCAAAAGGTAAGCCCACCCAGTGCGGAAAGCGGCAGAAACACAAACAAGGTGTCAACGCCTTGGGGCTCAAAGCTTGCAGAATCGGCGCGGCGCGCTGGAAATCTTCGTCGGATGGCAAACCGGGTCAGCATCCGAGGGATCGATATACGAGAGCGTTGTATAGGTTTCGCGATAGTGGCCGTGACCGTCCCCAGCCGCCCCCCCAACCAGGTTACGTTACGATTCGCATAGCGCTCCGAATTTTCTTTGGTCATTCCTACACCTTTCCAGACGGCGCCGGCGTGAAACATGACGTTACCGGCCCGCCCCCCCCAAAAATAATGCACGTTGTTCACTGGGGACACCAAAAGGCACCGATACCGCTACTCCCAGAACCTCCAGACCTCTCACAGGGTGCGTTCTGACCAAGATGTCGAGGCGAATCCAGCGGTGGCGACGAGGGCCTCCCAGGAAGCCCGTCTCGGAACGCCAGCGATGGGCGGACGGACGCGCCACTGCCATCTTCAGGCCCGAAACGACTGACCAGTGATTCTGTATTTTCACGCAACACACCACTGGTGCCAAACCACATCGCCAATCAAAATCTCGCTCGGCACATCGGGAACACCGCACAAACCGACATGCAATGAGCAAACTCATGCTATGACCCGTGGCCTGAACAAGACATCGGCAATGCAGTTGCTCTGCATGCATGGAATAAGCATGTTTGTAATTTGGGCTGCATCTGGGCGCGGGGATACCGTCGAGTTCGATCTGTAAACCGCCCCTGCCAAATACAGGGTACCCTTGTATCCTGCGTTTAGCGATCCATGCAAGGCAATATGGCCCTCGGAATTGCATGTCCTGGGGGGTCTGCACCTTTGCCGCGCACAGGGGGTCCCTGGGAGTCTGGGCGAGGCAGTTCGAAGGTAGATGCCGAATCCATTTTGATAGCGCGCTTGCTTCGGCAAGCAACGCACCCAGAGGCCAGGAGCTGCTTGGGCAGCGCTTTCCCCTTATCGCAAAGATAGGACTTCCTCGACTACCAGATTCTCGTTCCAGATCCCCCGGCGCTCACAACTCGGAAGGGATGTGTCCTCAGGCGTGTCCGCTCTAAGGGCGCCTAACTTCGCGCTTCGCGCTGCTCGAGGCGAAAAACGCAATTGACTTCGCGCTCTCGCGCCGCCCCGCAGGGGAGAAAAGGAGGAGGAAGCGGAGCCGAACCGCGAAGCGCGAATAGCTTCGCGCCCTCGAAGGCGCCCTTGCCTAACCAATCGAACTCGACTGCGCGCGCTCGACGTCAGGGAGACGGCTTCTTAGAAGGAGGCCGCTTCTTAGAAAGCGCGGGCCTCACATCTTCAGATAAGGCCCGCGCCTTCTAAAAAGCAGGGGTGCGTCTAAAAAGCATTCCAGAGGAGGATGAGGAGGAGGAGGAGGAAGAGGAGGAGGAGGAGGAGGAGGAGGCGGAGGAGGAGGAGGAATGTAGGTAGGTAGGTCACTCCGCGGAGCGCGGGGTCGCCCACAGGGCCACACCCAGAGGCTGATTCCGAGAGCGCGAGGGAGGTGCCGAAGTCCAACGATTTAACGAACACCCACGAGTGGCCGAACTCGAAGTCGGTGAGGGGGAGGACGGCCCGACGAGGCATTATCGCACTCCCCCCGCCGCTTCGGAAACCGGCGCCGGCGCCAGCTCCCCGAGCGGCTCCACGTCCACGACGGCGATGGGCCACAC